TTTAATAGTACTAGTGATTTTTAGCCCCTTTTAGCGTAGCCAGGGGTCAAGATAAAACTTTTAACCGTGGCCTCTGTAGTGTCTCCCTACGTTCCGGAGACTGCCCTGGCTGTGGAAGGATTCACATCCCAGATAACGTGGCTTTCGCGCGAAACGCGCGAAAGGCACGCAGGCACGGGCTTCCAGACGAAAAGTCCTTAGTTTCTAGAAAGCTTACTCCAATGACTGTCGATCGTAACATTCTGTAATCCGTAGTTGGCACAGTAATCCTACAACACCCCCAATCGGTACCTACCCAATACGCGCCCGCGCCTCCAATCTCCCAATGCGTAAGTAAGACCTAGGTAGGTAGCTTGATAAGGCAACCTCGTGGAATATAGGCAGCAGAGCCCCAATTCGCTGAATAAACAGCCTGACAGACCATTCCGTCACCATGAGAAAGCAAGAGGTCAGATGTTGGTGATTACATTTTCAGCTACGCAAACAAGGGCGGCAAATATGCATTCGTTGGTCCTCGTGTGTCGCAGGTTAATTTCATGGTGCTATAAAGTTCCAGCTGCCTTCACTGCATTAGGAAGTCGGAGGATCTGTTTGGTATTAATGAGGATCTGGTTTCAGAAGGATCATCATTGGTGTGCTAGACGCAGGTCCCGAGACAGACGCCTTGGTGCCTTGACACCGGGCGGTTCGCGGTCTAACATAGTTGAGGCTCAACTGAAGAGTTCGTGTCGATCGTAGCACACACGCATACACACTACATAAATAACAGAACCTGGTGACATAGTGTGCACGATGTACACGACAAAGGATTAAGTTGATGACCCTGAAATACGACATGTGCCAGGCGACACTGTTACAAAGAGTATTTCCAGCTGACATTATAAGATCAGAGAGCGTCTTTGCGCACTCATCACATCGGTGAAACCGAACGAGGCAACATGGCTTGAGGAGCTGAAAGAAGACGTGTAAGCATGATCAAGCATTTGATCGGATGCTTTGTGTCATGCTGCCAGTCAGGATCTGGTGATGACCAAGAACTTCAACACCATCATGTAGGACTTGGCTGCGAAATCTCAGAGTGCCAATTATTGGCATTGGACTGTACTCCAAAGTTACACAGATCATATACTTGAGAAAATTTCAGTCTTGCGCGGCATGTTTATGTGAGCACCAATGCTGTCTGTTGTCTTGCGACGACAGCCTTGGATGAGATACTCTGTGCTCTGTGCTTCTTCCCGAGGTTACACAGTTACACTAATGACCATGTAAATCAGCCCATAAAGGATCCGAAAGCACTGGGGAACTGCATATGGGGCCTCAACTGCAGGTGATAAGTTGCATCACAACGGCCTGCCGCAGTTCCATATATCCTCAGCCTCTCGGCGACATTCCCTGAGCTTCACACCATGCATTGTACTACCAAGCTTATGAAGACCATTTGATTCAAGTTCTCTCATAAGATGTCAGGATTCCCGCTTCTCTCTTCTCTCCTCCTGAATATGTCCGGTTCATTTGATCGCTCCCGAGATACGGGAAGTGTGTAACGTTTCTTTGTGCACGGCTTCCCTTACCTCGCCCTGTGAGGGTAAAGTCGTGGGATCCTGCGTTTTCATCTCGCAACCCAATACATGTTTGTCTTTGTGCGTCTCTATTCACTTCCCGATTTAGATACCTTTTCGTGCACTTTCTTACCCCGTGCATTAACTATTGCTCGGTCTTCCGTTCCCGTCCCGTCCGTTTCCTGCCATCCGTTGAGCTATTACAGCACTTTCAAACACCATCTCTACACATTTCTCATAAGGCGACTGCTTGGGCTGCTTTTTGAGCCTGCATCTGAAACGGGCGTTTAATCGACGTAGGCGAATATGCGATATATCGTGTTTTCTCTGTGAGCATTCACATTTCTCTCTCGCCTAACTAGGCGAGTGGTTGAGTTTACACCGTATTTGCTTTTGACAGCTGCAGTTCCACCGCCCTATGTAAAGAGTCCCTCAGTCACGAGACAATTGGCTAATATGGAGCCGCCTGAACGGCAACAGACATTAGTTTGCTCATCGTGTCGTTGCCATTGGCCTACTTGAAGCCGCTTACACGCTCATAAATGGCTATCAGAGCGGTCTGCAAACAAACAGCTTCGATATCACAACTTCTGAGACTCTAGAGCTTCCCCGATCCCTGCATAGGAGACTCAACATCAACCCAACGCTTGAAAATTGTTATATTTTGAGACAATTATGCAGCGAGCCTGCCTACGTTTTGCCTGCCGGGAATCGAACCAGGGTTGGTAGGCCTTACAAGGCAAATGCATCGTGGGGGCTCTTTGCGCCTATCATGGATGGAGACTTAAGAAATGACCTTGAGAAATGAGTAAAAAGCGCGGTGAGAAGACCCATTGATGTTGGTACCTTGAGTTGGGCCTATGATGAAAGTGTTGGTAGTGTTCAGTTTGCATTTTCGATCCACGTCAATGTTGGGGCTGCAGTCATCAATCAATGTGAAAGTGTAAATGCTGTGATGGTGACGAGGTTGGCATGAGCGGGCGTCGACAAGCGTATTAACTTCAAGGCAAACAGACGCAGTTTCGGCTTGAGGTCCTATGGCAGCAAAATGTCAGAGTCACAGCGCGCAATGCCGTTTACGACTAAGCGACTGTGTGATTATGGTACGCGAGCCGACTCTATCAATGTGCCACGCTTGAGTTACACATCGATGTTACGTTGCGTTCGTTCGCATGAGATTACTACCACGCCATTGAATGCTACGCCATGGCCACAATCCTGCCCATGTGCAGTGGAACTAGCCACGGCTGACATGCTAGAGACATGAGGCCCGATGCCACTTATACACCGAAATTACAATATCAGCCCAAATGATCAGTGATGCTGGAAGGACTGCTAAATATGCATTCAGCCAAAAAAAAACACTTTGGAGATAGCATCACGCAGACATGACACGCCCAAGACTTGGATGCCCGATACTAGCCATATCGACGTCAAAGGCTCTTGGAAACACGCAATATGTTTGACTTGGCGTCAGGTAATTGGATCATTATGAAAGATGGTTGTGCTCTGGCTTATCCTGTTGATCCTCCCAAGGCAGAGCAATGACACAATGTGATCGACCCCACGTTGTCCACAACAGTAGTCTTGGACCAGCAGTGACAGTAGTCGTCTTTGAGTTTAGATCGAAGCCCGTTGGGTACGGTAGAAAGCATCCTATAACAGGACTTGAGCCTATCTGTATGCCTGACCACCGAAATTGAATGAGAGTTTGGTTTCCTCAATATTGAGCCTGGTGAAGAAGAAACTGGTATGAGCCTGGTGAAGAAGAAACTGGTAAATGGACAAACCGCAGACTTGGGTTCTTTTCGTAAATACCGATCAGGTCATCTGACTTGAGACGGGTCTGTCTCTTGTGTGTTAAGCATATTGTTGGATATTGTGCATGAGAAGTTTGTCAGGGAGCTTAGGGCAAGGAAGTCGTGAATTCTTCGTCTACAATTCGTAAAACATACAGTTCTGAATGCCCAGGCCGCCCAGGAGCAATCATTCGATGTGATCATACACCTCTAGTCGTCTTCTATCCAGGTCTACCAGATATACACCTGCCAGTCCCCCTTTTCATGAACGAAAACCCTCGTACTTCTCAGCCGTCTCTCTCTTCTTCTCAACTCGCGCAATTGTCTCAGCATCATATACATCTTCAAGAGATTTCCCACCCTTGAAGATCTCCTTCTCATGTCTAGTGGCCTCGTCCTTGGTCATTAACACGAGATCGTGAAGCTTCACTGTAGAGCACTTCTGTATGTTCTTGCCCTCACCCAAGGTCGTGATACTGGAGCCGCTGGGCTTCTGCCACCGGATTAGGACCAGCTTCGTGGGGATACCAGTAATGGCACTTCGTCCCTGATAGAGCTCCTCAGAAAGGAAAGCAACGTCACCGACAGTGATGGGGACCTTGAGGCCTATTTGATCGCCCTCATTACCTAATCGTGCCAACTTCTCCTCGTAGCTCTGCAGTGTTGCCAGCATGCCCTCGTACATCTTTTCCCGGCCCTTGGCAGGTACATAGTCTAAGGGATAGCCTGTAATGCTCAGAATGACATGGTTTGCCACTGTAAGACCAAAGATGGCCGGCATTGTGCCGAGTACAGGTAGAATCCGGACGCGAAAGTTGGGCATGGCAGCTAGATCGCCAACAGAGCCTTTCTGGAACTCCTCTTCAGGTAGTGGGAGTAGCTCAGCTTTACCAGCGCCTGATGTCTCTGTAGAGTAGACAACGGGGATGCCGCTTGTGATACCCTTCAGCTTCAGCTTCCTTCGTGTCGCCCTTGAGAGCCCGTCATCCTTGCTCGCCCCAATATCTCCCACAATGATTCTTGTAGGATCGCTTTTGCACCCTGCGCCCATGGCACTGATGACTGGCAGGTTCTTCTTGTAGCAAAATTCGAGAAGTGAGACCTTGGTCTCGATGTTGTCGATGGCATCGATAACGAAGTCAGGGGCGCGTCCATCTTCGCTCCAGGGGCGAAGTAAGCGCTCCGCAACATCCTCATTAAATTGCTCCTGGCGCAGATCGAATTTAACCCATGGTGCAATGGCAATCAGGCGTCGTTCCAAGCATTGGACCTTGGGAATACCAACATCAGCCAGTGTAGCGACCGCATGTCGGTTCAAAGAGCTCAGAGTCACTTGATCGAAATCTATCAGCCTGATTTTCGAAACACCAGAACGAGCAAGGGCTGCTGTGCAGTGAGAGCCAACTCCTCCGCAGCCAACCACAATGACGAACGAGTTCCGTAGCTTATCAAGGCCTTCATCTGTCAAGAAGACCCTGTTCCTCGCTAGTTGTTCGAGAATTAGTTCTTCATCGAAATCACCAGCTTGTGCCCGACGGGCAAGAGCCTGATTCCTTGCGTCCTCCTTATCAACTGGTGGCGCTGATGAGCCGCCAAAGTTATTCAACTGTAATCAGTCAGTAAAGGCGGTTTTAGAAAGCAAATTCGAGGTCAGTACTGGTTGAATGTTAGGATCATCAGCAGGAATTGAGCTCTTCAGTTCATGTACTCTCTCTTCGCGCTCCAACGCTTGATAGCCGAGTAACAAGGAAGCTGTAGTAGCTGCTGAGAAGACAGCAGCCGCAAAAAGCTGAAATCTTGGGTTGGAGAACGTGTCCGAGGATAAGAAGGAAGACATTTTAAGCACGATAACGTGATAAAAAAAAACGTCGGCTGTTCTCACACTAACAAGTACATTTTAGTCTTCACGATGCGCTCAATCAGAATTTCAAGATCTTGGCAGAGAATGACGTCTTAGTCAGCAATTTTGTGCTCCAATTGGCTCAATTTTCCAATCACCGTACACCATTCACCATTTCCTCATCATTCAAAGACTCGAGATACCATCATTTTCAACAATTTGTAAACTATAGCAACTTGGCGACTCTCACATTGAATAGGCGAAATATACGGTTCACAAATACGCAGGCGCCATGCGTCACCGGCTGGTTGGCCGTCACGTTCAGGTTTCGTCACCTAGAACACCAACACTTCGTTCCCGATTGCCATGTCTCCGAACATTTACACATTGCACCCAACTCACCACCAACTCAAGGCCGAACCTCCCCTTCCTTGCGATACCAGTAACTACCAACGGCGTTAGAACCTTTACTACCGAGAGAAGACAATGGCTGAAGCACGAAGCTAAGCTGGCGGTACGATACACTGCTTCATTTTGGGGTCTCTTAGCCTGTTTCGGCGTGATTCTGTTCTTTGTCAATGAGGAGAGGTTGGAGCAGGAATATCCGACACCACATGAATGGGGCTGGATGACAAGGAAATTTTTAAGGGACTCAAATAACAGCAAGGCGCCGAAGAATGGCGAGACCAATTGGCCTTGGTCGTTCGAGCTGGCTCGAGGATTGGTGTTGAGACTCGAGGATCCAAAGGTTGACGGTCAGGGTGTTACGAAACTCACGGATAGAGTCGATCCTGAAGCGGAGATCCCTGGGGAATTCAACCCCTGCGACATCTCTGGCAAGAGCGAGGAATGGAGGAGAGGTTACTTTGAGGCTATTATGCTGGCTGCAAAAGGCGCGGAACATGTCGATGGATGGGTCCGCGACCTTTCTCGCAACATCATCTCACCACCTGAATTTGTTATTGGACCCTCCAATCCTAGGCCTACGCCAATCCCTCCAGGACAACCTCATGCGCCCCGTGAAGAGGACTGTGAAATTGCTTATCCCAACGCCGATAATTTCTACATGAAGATCCTAGGCACCAAAGGCTTTACTTCCCGACAGAAGCTCGAGGCAACACTGGAATACGCTAGTTACCTGGAATTCAAGAAGCAATCCGAAGGCGCCGAGGCGCTCTACCACTTGGCTCTCGCAGAAGCTACACAGGGAGTCGACATGTCGCAACCCCCTTACAACCCCAAGACATTCGTGCTCAATGAGAAGGCCGGCTTGCCGTCACAAAATGTCCTCGATGCCGTCACTGCTATGGCCAGTTTCAAAGCACGTAGCGGAAAAGTCGACGCAGCTCTCCCTATTTACCTCTCCCTTCTCAAGGCTCGCCGCTACTTACCTGACGACCCTCATCCCACTACCCAATTAAAGCCAAAGTCTCACTCCGTATTGGACAAAGTCGTCAAAACTTTCTCCCAGGCCGATTACCCGCCTCCACCACCAGATGGTACTCAGCCACCCTGGCGTAGCCCTCACGAACGCTGTCAAGAAGCTTCCCTCAGTCTTTGGATCGGCGAGATCCTCTTCTCCACATCCTCCAAGGACGACGGCCTCTCGTGGACGCGTGACAGTGTCGACGTTGCAGAGGAGCAGCTGCGAAACATGGACCTTCTAACTGCTGATCAGGCCGCGAAAACTACTTGCCGCGAGTGCTTGAGCGCAGGCCTCGCCAACTGGGGTAAAATGGTCAACAAGCTTGCCAGGGAAGAAGAGCTACGGCAAGCAAAGGCCTCTACACAGTCGAGCGTATTCTCCTTCTGGAGCGCCACCCCGCCAAGTGTTGAAGACCGCTGGACCGCAGAGGAAGCTGTGGTCAGGGAGCGTGTGAGGAGGACAAGAGAGCTGATCGAGGACCTGACACCAGCCGGGCCCAATATAGCCTCACTGTTCAAAGCCTAAAATAATGTAAAACAAAACTTGTATAATGTGGGTATACCAGGAGCTGCAAAGGATTTTGCCACATCTTTTAGCCACTCCTCGAGACTTGAGATTGGTTCTAGTCTATTTCTAATGAACAAGATATCCCCTTTTCATCATAAACTCCGTTCCTGGTGTTCATCTGCACTCTCCCCGCACATGCACGATCAGACGAAGTCCATTCTTCATGCAATTCCGTCATGATTTCAGTCCTCGTCATCAGAATCTTCATCAGGTGCCTCGCCAGTCTCCGTAAACTTCTTCCAGCGTCTCATCTGCTTAATTGCTTCCTTCATCTTCTCGGGGTCAACGCTGGTGACCTCTGGCTTGACCTCCTCTGGCATTTCACTCCATTTCTCGTCTGTGATGTCGGTTGGATGACGCTCTGCGACAGCCATGTCAGGGTTGACAAAGTTAGGAGTAAGAGCCACTTCTTGCAGGTAAGCAAGGGCTGGTTCGAGAGCCTTGATGAGGATGGTTTCGATGAACTGGCCTTCTCCGCTAGAGAAGCAGGGGCAGCCAAGGGGTTCAATCAGGAGTGATGGGTTTCCTCCGGGCATGGCTAGGGGAGTGTCGAGAGGCTCCTCTGAAATGAGATAGCCACGAGTGCGCTATGCTAGTCAGTGATTTGTGGAACTAAAGTTTTTATCGTGTGTGGGTTGTACCTTTGCTAGGAACTCTTTGAATTCAGCATTGACGAGCAAATCTGTTGGGAAAACAGTACCCATGAAGAGCATGCCTCCTAGTCGCTCACCCCATTGCGCCCAGTGCTTCTCGTTCTCGAAGAACTGCAAGGCAACCTCACAGCTTTGCCCAATAGCAATTATGTCGACCTTGGCATTCTTGTTGACTTCAAGAACCTTGTTGAGCACAGTCGTCATGTGTGCCAAAGGCGTCTCGCTTCCAGGGATCTCATTGAGTTCCTTGATGAAACGGCGTCCAGAGTGCACCAAACTGGGAAGTTCAACATCAGCGGATGCTTCTATGGTGAGAGCACGCTGTTCTTCAGGCCACCAGAATCGCTGGCCCATGTTGGCCAGGATAATGCAGGGAGGTTCCGGATCATCGGGGCTGGCAGCCTGGGTAGCAAGTGCCTGAACAACAGAGATCATGGTTCCTTTCGCAAGGCCACCAGGCCCATTTGCAACGCGGCCAGCAATCCATCCTAAATCTTTAGTTGGTTCACCTAGGACAACGACGATGCGGGTAGTTTCGGCAATGTTGGGAGTGAGGAAGACGGGGGATTGCCGTTTGTGCTCGGGCAAAAGGTGGTATTTCTTGAGGCCTTCTTTCTCGAGGCGATCATGGACTATATCTTCCAGAGCCACTATAGTACTGCTATTAGTAAAGTTGCCTTTACCCGGTGTCACCAAGACCAGGCACGTACTGTTGAAGTGGAAACGCTGGCGCTCATTGACGCGAGCGTTCTTGCTGCTGAAGAACTTGTAGTAACACTCCGGATCCTCGATAGATCGGACCTCGTCGTCATCATTCACGAAATAACTACCCCATGTCAGCGATGCATCTTGAAGTAGTCATGGATAGCGAACCCAAGGCCGGCGAGATCTCTCGGAAAGGAGACATCCTTGGGGAGACCCGACCAACTTCTGAAAAACATAGTAACAGGTTGGAGTGTTCTTCTAAAAGGTGAGAGGCTCTATGACTGCCAATTTGGGGCTTTTTTCAATATCTTTGGTAGGTCGGAAGGGTTTGGGAGGAGGGAAATTGCATCTAGTAAGTGCTTGCCATTAAATACTCGGAGAAGTGTGAGAGGGGATTATGGCAGCTGCACGCAGCCGGCGGAGATGCTGCTCTGATACTGTGATATCCTGCATGGAAAGATTGCGAAGTGTTTGAGCAAATAAGAGATCAAATTAGAAGTTTCTCTGTTCTCGCGTCTTCTTCGTCTTGATTCGACACTATGTCTGCCTCGTTTGATGGCGGCAACTCTCCCATCACCAGCCTGAGCATATAGAAACTACCTCAGGTACTTGCAATACCACTGGCCCGGAAGCTTTTGCAAGACTTCAAAATCCCCTACAGCATTGCACTAACCATACTCCATATTCGACCGCGTTTCTATCATAGCAAAGATTGAGGTGGGATATCTGTACGACCGTATCCTAAACATTCAAAACCGGTGCCTCACCAAACGCCCTAATTAATGCATTTGCCATACCCAAACGCCTTGCCAAAAGAGCATTTTCAAGCGACACAAATTCGAAAACAGACCCTCAAGCTAATCACTGGTTGGGACCAGGATTGTAACGGCTGCGAAAAGCCTGGCTGATGCTGAAGCGGCTTCCTGCGCCTCTGTTCATATGACTGGCCAATGCCTCCTCTAATGCAGACTGTGTAACTGAGGCGTCTAGGACTGTGTGGTGAGCAAACTACACCAAGCGGGCTGAGGATAGCAAGGCAACTTACCGTCAAGATCACTATAACTACTACCCATACTAGGCGTTCCGTCGCTACCTTCGCGTGAGTAACCCTTGTTTTGATTGCCCGGGCTACGTCCCGCCAGCTCTGCAGTTCGGCGTGGTGAGAGAGGTCCGGGCGTCCGCTGCTCCGTCGTTTTATCTGACTTATCCGGTTTCTGTACCATGGCCGCAGAGCTGGCTGACGAGTCTGATGTGTGAGATTGATGAATGGCGGACTTTCCGTGAGGCCTGTGATGCCTTTTGCCAGAGCTGCGCCCATCTCCCCTTAGCGTTGAGCCGAGGTCCTGTGCCGAAGTCTTGTTGGAAGGAGATGTATAAGGTTGAAACGCAGGCTCTGATTCGTCATCGTCGTCATCCTCGTATTGTCCTCCATCAGGTTGCTGAAACCGAGGAGGCCGACGAATGATGCGAGATTGAGCGGGGCTAGACTCGTCCTCTGACGATGTTGGTGAACTGTCCTCAGCTGGGCCTGGCGACGGGCTTCGTTCATCTGGCGCTGGCTCCGGTTGGGCTTCTCTATCGGGTGATCTGTGGGGGGGGACTGATGATATTGGTAAGGATGAAAGACGACGTCGTTCACCGGTCCGCGAAACAAACCCTGTTCCAGGTCGAGGAGAAGCTGAGCCTCCGGTCATGTCTCTCAGGACTGTAGTATTCGTCGACTGATTCCGCGATACAACCGGTCGTATTGATGCGTTGAGAGGAGTACCAGTACCACTTCCTGCCTCAGCGCGCGGCATGGGTGAGTCTTTTCGGATGGATAAGGCTGAATGTGTTCGTTGATGACCGGGTCCGGCGGAGTCGGCGCCTGGAACGGGTGACTGCACTGAGCCACGGACAGCGGCGGTAGCTTTTCGAACTTGAGCGCGGACCTGCGAAGCATGTCGTTCGGTAAGGTACGCTACTTGTTGGAGGAGGAAATCGACGGGAACTTCGAAGCGATCGGCGCTGCACCTCAGATGAGTATTGCCTGTATGATAATTGTGATAAGATCGACACCTACACTTCGTCCCCTTGTCTAAGTCAGCACCAATGAATATACACAAATGTGGTGAATAGGGTACTTACAGTCTATCTGCTTTTTCGCAGCTCCGGAGAGGATCTTCCATAATGCTTCATCTTTGACGGAGTCCCAGTTTACCTGTCATGCTTCTGGTTAGCTCTGCCATGATTGCTCCGATGCGCGCAATGGCATGGGCATGATGGCTTATGATTGACTGGTTGGATCAAGAGCTTCGTACCGGTGGCGGATCGACGAAGTCACCACGGGCCATGGGGACCCGGACGAAAATGGTGTATGTTGGCTCGGCCATGACGCCGCGCTGGCTATCTATTCAAGAGGATGAGTAGATGAAGAAGGTTGAAAGAAGTAGGCAACAAGCCGAAGCTCTAAGTTCATTGAGAGCTGCTGCAGGGATTCCGCGATCGGCTTATCGATAAGTTAGCTGCCGTTTTAGCGTGGTTCAGTGGAGAGTGTGAAACAGCCGAGTAAGGTTGATGATTCACGAAGCCACTTGAAACTCAAGTTTGGAGTTCAAGGTCAGTTATACACTCCAGTAAAAGCAATATTCCGCATGCATGACGTTTTTCGCGCAACGATTTTCTTGACGGGCGCCCTGCTCATGTGGCTGAATTGTTCGTCTTTCAATTCATATACATGGTATTTTATCCTTTACCTCTTCTACCACGTTCCTCCGATCAACGAGTGACACCAGCTCAGATCTGCTTCTTCATTCGTCGTACTCATATCACTGTCACACTTGCTTCTGTACGATAGATAAGCGACCTACTATCTCTTGGCCAATTCCGCTTTTGAATCCAACATACTAGGTGTTCTTTCCTATGTCCTTCTAATTATTATCTTCGTAGCATCATAATATCATCATCTTCGTCTTCCTTATGTGTACCTGCGTCTGGGGTGACACAAGCAGCACCGAGCCGAAAAGGCTTTTACACGCATTGAAGTACTGGAAGTATCAGTAATCTTACCACCAGACTCTTACAAACCTTGATTTATGCTCGCCCCCAAGGGCTGATGGGATATGATATCCGTTGGCAAAAAGATGGGAACGGAATTCAGTTTGCTTTAGGGTAGCTTGAGCTGACAAGCTCGATCTAGGCTAACATCTGACGACAAATTGGAGAGCTACCTACTAGGTAGGTACATAAATATTTATCTGGAACCAGAGATACGTGGTTGAAATGGAGGTTACGGCTACCACGGCAATCTTATCAAGTGACAAGAGCTTATATGACTTCTCAATGTCCGTACTCTTATTCGTGCTTTGATGTGAGAGGTCTCAGTTGGCGTTGACTAACCGAGTGCTGTGCTTAGGTAGCTTGCCAACGTTACACTCATTGTTACCCTGTAACTGTGTATGGACAAACTAATAGACGACGGCAGTCTGATTACACCCAAACGGCACCTGATCTTCAGGTCGAAACGCCCTACACGACTCAGAGAAGATAGCATTATCGATGCTTGACTCATGAAAGCCAACATCAAGAGCATGTCGTCAGGACCAACCACCTTGACCTTACCCAAGGCGGAAAGGGCGCTAAACGTCTGGTGTTGGATGCCCCGCGACTGCGCTGCCGGGCATGGAAGACACGACCCCGCTGCCTCTCAGCAGGCACTTACTTGGCTTCTATGGGAATCCATCCAAAAGTCGGATAGCTTCCCCCATTCAATCTAATCTTTCGCTAGCGGGTGCTCAACCCCTTCTATGAAGCCCTCTTTCCGGAAGACTTACTCAAATGCCTTTCTTTCGCTTACATCTTTCATCTCACCATCGCTACAGCATCGAGCTATAAGGTAGCTTCGACAAGACCTCAAGCTGCAGCTCTTACATCATCATATCTATACGTTATCGCTATCGTGGAGGTAAAATAACTACCTACACAACACTTGGCTATAAACAGTTCCAACTCTCCCCACCAAAGGCGTGCTTGGTTCCGAGTTACTTTTCCCGCAGCTTGACGACAGCAACAGCAACAGCGTCACAATCAGCTATACACCTCTCAAACCAGGTCAAGGTAGCAACATGGTAGCTTCAGAACTCACAGCGTCTGCTAGAGCTATGCGCTCCACGCCCGTCAGTGGTGATGAGTCAAGCTCGAGCTTACCAAAGCCCCTCGCGCCTTTGCAAAACCGCGCGGCTGCTAGTCAGAGCCCATACATCCGGGACCAGGCTGAAAGCTTGGTTTCATGGCAGCTCTTAGACGACGAGGCAGTCGAGCGTTCGCGCAAGGAGAATAAACTTATCTTCCTGCATATCGGCTACAAGGCATGCCACTGTAAGTTGCGTGATGATTCGTCTCGAAGCGAATTCTATCTTGCGCTGTATTGCTAACGGCTCCAAGTTTGTCGACTCATGTCGATTGAGACCTTCTCTAACCCCGAGTCTGCCTCCGTATTGAATGAATCTTTCATACCAGTTATCGTCGATCGAGAGGAGCGACCCGACTTAGACGCCATCTACATGAATTACGTCCAAGCCGTCAGCAACGTTGGCGGATGGCCCTTGAATGTGTTCCTTACACCCAATTTGGAGCCAGTTTTTGGTGGTACCTACTGGTTCGGGCCCGCAGGACGAAGACATCTCAGTGACGACAGCATCGAAGAAGTACTCGACTCTCTGACTATCTTTAAGAAAGTTCGTGATATTTGGATCGATCAGGAAGCCCGATGCCGAAAGGAGGCAACTGAGGTTGTTAGCCAGCTCAAGGAATTTGCAGCTGAGGGTACATTGGGAACAAGGAGTATTTCAGCACCCTCAGCTTTAGGTCCGGCTGGATGGGGAGCACCAGCCCCGAGCCATGCAGGTGCTGCTAAGGAGAAGAGTACCGCAGTTTCAGAGGAGCTGGATTTGGATCAGCTTGAAGAGGCTTATACACATATCGCCGGCACTTTTGATCCTGTTTTTGGTGGATTTGGCTTGGCACCGAAGTTCCTGACGCCACCCAAGCTGGCATTTTTGCTGGGGCTCCTCAAGTCACCAGGCGCTGTTCAGGATGTTGTTGGAGAGGCTGAGTGCAAACATGCCACCGAAATTGCTTTGGATACAATGCGTCATATTCGTGATGGGGCGCTGCGTGACCATATCGGAGGCACGGGGTTTTCGCGCTGCTCCGTTACAGCGGATTGGAGCATTCCTAACTTCGAGAAGCTTGTGACTGACAATGCGCAATTGCTCTCCCTGTATATTGACGCGTGGAAGGTCAGCGGGGGAGGCGAAAAAGACGAGTTTCTGGACGTTGTTCTTGAGCTTATTGAGTATCTTACTTCGTCTCCGATTGTTCTGCCCAAGGGCGGTTTTGCTTCAAGTGAAGCCGCCGACTCCTATTACAGGCAAGGTGACAAGGAGAAGCGCGAGGGCGCCTACTATGTCTGGACGCGGCGAGAGTTTGATTCAGTCCTTGATGAAATTGACAGCCACCTGAGTCCTATTCTAGCGTCGTATTGGAATGTCAATCAAGATGGAAATGTCGAGGAGGAAAACGACCCCAACGACGACTTCATTGACCAGAACATTCTCAGGGTTAAGAGCACCATCGAACAGTTAAGCACCCAATTCAGCATGCCAGTGGAAAAGATCAAAGAGTATATCGAACAAGGAAGACGAGCTTTAAGAAAGAGAAGGGAACAAGAGCGTGTGCGCCCTGACCTGGATGACAAAATTGTTGTAGGCTGGAATGGCCTTGTGATATCAGCTCTTTCCAAGGCAGCCTTGGCGTTGAAGACATTGAGGCCAGAACAAAGTTCCAAGTGTAGGGCTATCGCAGAGCAGGCGGCTGCATGCATCAGAGAAAGGCTTTGGGATGGCAATGAGAGAATCCTATATAGGATATGGTCTGGAGGTCGTGGAAACCTCGCATTTGCCGATGACTACGCCTATATGATCCAAGGTCTCCTGGATCTTGTCGAACTGACAGGAAATCAAGAATATATGGAATTTGCTGACATTTTACAGCGTGAGTTATCGCAACCCCCCTCCACATAAACACACCCCGCTGACCATGCCATCACAGAAACCCAAACCTCGTTGTTCTATGATGGCGATGGTGCCTTTTTCAGCACTCAAGCCAATAGCCCTTATATAATCCTCCGCCTCAAGGATGGCATGGATACGTCATTACCATCGACCAACGCCGTCAGCGTAGCTAATCTGTTCCGCCTTGCGAATCTGCGTTCGAATGACGATTTGGCAGCCAAAGCTCGTCAGACGATAAATGCGTTTGAAGTCGAAGTGGTGCAACATCCTTGGCTCTTCCCCGGCTTACTCCAAGGTGTTGTCACAGCTAGATTGGGCGGAGAGACGTCGAAATAAAATGTTTGAATATAAATAGCCCAGGATGGCGATTCATATCAAAGCAGCTCTGGGAAATAAAGTGCACGAGTTTTTGGAGTCGGCACAGTCATCCCAAGGCGTTCAAGGAACAGACGACATGAGGAAAAGAGGAGTTCTGAACAGCGCACAGCATGTTAGGAACTAGTCGATGAGTGACATTGGATACAATTATGAATCTAGACTGCAAGGTCTTTGCTACACTCTGTAAATACGCGCAAGATATTATCAAATTTATCATTTCAGGGGTATCTAGTCTACATCGGCCACCGGCCCCCTCCCCAAATACCGATCCGTTACGCTCACTGAGTACAAAGGGTCGACAAAATACAATATCTTGAAAAGAAAAGGGGATCGTCCATAATTGTTTGGGTGGGGCATCTGCTACTCCTTTCTCAAGATCTAGATGTATCTCCAGTGCCCTTGCGGTTCATCAAACCAGTAAAGAAGCTTTGCAGTTGCTCGTTATCAAAGTCCTTGGCCATATTCGCAGCAGGCGTATCAGCCTCCTCCTCTTCGTTACTTGGAGAGGAGCTAAATGCATTACGATCCTGCTCATGTCAGTAACTTATTCGGAGTAGTGAAGTGGCTATGTCTTACCTTGAGACGCTGCAACATATCATCGGCATCGACTTGGATACCACCCATGTTGAACTGCACAGGTCCAATGTGCTCGCTGATACTCGTCTCATCGCCAGTGTAGTCGATGTGACGAGTACTGCGAACGATGGCATTGTCGCTGCCCTTCTCTGGCAACTTGGCCTTGAATACCTCGAGGATCTTGAGCTGCTTCTCAAGAAACTCCTGGGTGTCGTCACTCTCCACCGTGATCCACCTCTCGCCGTGCATGGCATTTTCAACAACTGCCAGACCACCACTGTTAGGATCGCGGCACCATCCCTCGTAGCGCGCAATCGCACTGTTTAGTTTCCTGATTTCGGCTTCTTTGTCGCTTATCTTGTCTG